GATATCCTACTTCCTTGTTACCCCTCCACCAAACCCTCATCCCACATCTGCCCTTCCCCTTCCCCTTTGTCTGTATGAGAGAGCTCCCCCACCCACCTACACTTTCCAGCCTCACCACTCCAGCATCACCCTACACTGGGGCATCAAAACTCCCCGAGATCAAGGGACTCCCCTCCCATTGCTGTCAGGCAAGGCCATCCTCTGCTACATATGTATCTGGAGCCATGGACCCCTCCAGGTACACTCCTTGATTGGTGATCTAGACTTGGGAGAACTGGGTGGACAGAAAGGTTCTGGCCTTTTTAATTTCTCCGAAACTCAGCCATGTGAGGTTCCTGAGCACTTGGAATGTGTTTTATACAATTGAAGTTTCTTCATGCTTAAGGTAAAAATTAGCTTCAAAAACAGCACTGAAATAATGAAAAACATAATCACTAACATTTTAAGGTATTGATAACATTGAAATAATATTTCAGTTAATAAGTAAAACTGTTATTAATTATAACTAACCAATTGCTACTTGCTTCCTTAATGCAGCTACTAGAAAATTTAAAATTACATCTGGGGCTTGCTATATAATTTTGACTGGGCACTCGTGGTCTGATGGGATCTTATTGTCACCTTATTCCTGACTCCTTGAACCCACCAGGCTTCATGCTTATGAAAGAACATCTCACACCATTCCCTGCTCTTTGACTTTTGCTGTGTTTATCTGAACTATAGTAGATAAGATTCTTAACCTCTTTGTTCATTTTGATGTCTTTGCCATTGTAATAAACTTTTCAAAACTCTTTGAGGCAGAGTTAAACATTTCTTCCTAAGAGATGCACATGTTCTGTTAGCATCTCTATTTTAGCTAGTCCACAGGCTTGTATTTACAGTCTTACTTGTTCCTCTCTCCAGACAGACAATAAGCATCTGCAGAGTATGGATTTAATGTGAATCATGTCCCCCATTATATCAACTGATACTCAATTACAGGCTTAGGTTGCTGTTCATCAGATATTTGTTGATAACCAAGCCCTGTAACAGTTGGTCAATAATGCCCAGTTGAATAATTATAGAATGGTTACATATTAAACGTCTAAAGTATATGCTTGTATATAACTTGAAAATTTTACAGAAATCATTTTGAAGCCTCTCCACAGCCCTGTAAGGTAATACAACCATCCTCATTTTGCATTTTGAAATCTCATAAAAGATCTAATATTGCAAATGAAAGAACTAAGTCCACTGGACTAAATGGGTCCAAAGCCATTTATTTTCCATGTGATTCTGTGCATAAGGAAAAGTGGGATCAAAGTGCGGATTAGATTCTTCCACTCTGAAATGAGGGGAAATCCTATTTCCTAGGACTGTTTAAAGAGCGAATGAGATAATGTGTAGGAAGTGTCAAGGCAATGTTTATAAACAGTAGATTTTACTTCACATTGGCTTCTTCTTTTGAGGCCCAGAGCATCGGCAGCATTTGTACTTTCTAAGAAGGAGCAGAATGAGTGAATGAGAAGGACCTGACGTTCTCACTGCCCCACACAGGCTCATGGTCCCATTTACACAGAGGGCATAACATCAACCTCTACGGGGTAATGCATCTTAAACCAGTTCTCTCTTAATGCTTTCTTGTGGTAAGTGGTTCTGGTGGTCAAAGAAGGTAAAACAGAGAAATATCAAGAATAGTTACTGTTTCAGGTACATTGTCTATGCATGTATGTGCACAACATGTGTGCTGGTTATGTCTGGAAGGAATAATAGAAAGAGAGAGAGGGTTAAGTCTAGAGTCTTACCTTGTCTGTACTGTCTTGGTGAATTCCAAGAAAGCAGTTCTAAGTGCAGATTCCTCTGCACTCGTTATCTTACCAAGGCAACAGGTCTCATGCTGACTATCACTCTCTTTACCATAGGAATTGTTGTAGGAAATGAAAATGAAAATGCAGAGCGAATAAACATTAACTCTACGTTAGTACTTATTTACGAGTCCTATGTTGTGGTATCAATCTCCTGGGAATGAAGTTTAAGGAAGTAGCCTGTGGAGATGTGTTACTCGTGGGCCATGGGCTGTGTTCCAGTAAGGGAAAGCAATCCTTCTGCTGTCTTCACATCCCTGTTTTCCTTTGAAGAAGTAGTATGAAGAAATCGCCATTGCTATTGGTGTTTGGCTAGCAGGAGCTCTGGGCTTAAGGGTGAGATTCTTTCTTCTCTTTCTGATGTCCTTGACACACTGTTTTCAAGGTAACCACCAATGTTTATAGTCAATAGTTGGAAGGAAATATCTTGAAAATTCAGGCAGTGTTTTGTTTCCAATCAAACTTTCAGACAAACACTAAACAGGGTAATGCTTCCATCACTCTCAGCAACTTAAGTTTCCCCAAATTGGTTAGCTTAAATGTTGTCTTCTGACCTGTTATGGAGCAAAGCTTATTTAAAATGAGCAAAATACTTTTTTCTGTTCTCTCATTCTTTTACTTTCTTACCCTTTATCCTATCTACCCCTTCTGTTCCCATTCCCCTACCCCCCCTCCCCTTGCCCATGGCCAGCCTCTACTCCCTACTCCTCTTCTATTTCCCCCTCTCCTTCTACTTCTGTCCCTCCCTCTCTCTGTCTCTCTGTCTCTGTCTCTGTCTCTGTCTCTCTCTCTCTCTTTGCCTTTCTCTGTGTCTACTACCTCCTCAACTCCCCTCCCCATGCCCTAAATATACTCTACTCCATACTAAACAAATAAACAAACAAAATAGAATAAATGTAGAATAAATGATCTTAAGGTTTTATGTTATTACTCATTTTAATGTTTTTTCTATAATTAGTCGTTTAAATTTAAAGAAGCAAAAATCAAAGAAAAACATGTTTAAAAAAAGATTATCCAAGCAACAAGGTAATGTCTAAAAATTGTAAAAATTGATTTAAGGACAACATTAACAAGATAACTTCTGAATTATCTCCCAAAATAAGGCATTTAGCTAAAGCAAACAAACAAAAAATAAAAAATAAAAACTAAACAAAACAAACCTATCCCAATAAATACCTGTTTGAAATATTATGGCTGCTTTAACATTCTTAACACTTTCTTCTTTTTAGGAAATGCTTAACATTTTTTTTGATAGTTGGTATTTCCAGTAGAGTACGTCATCTTATACCAATATTAATAGAAATATTTTATCCTGTAAAAACTATTTACATTTTTAAATGAATATATTTGCTATTTAATAAGACTATTTGAACTTAAACCATGTAGCATGTATATTTGGAGATTTGTTAATTATTGAAATAAGGCAGAAATTAAAATGTGCTTGAAATTCTACTTGTGTTTAGTATTCTCTCTAGGTGCTGCTTTCGGTGTGTGTGTTGAGAGGAGGGGACCATGTCTTAAACTTCTTTGTATTTACTCCATGGTCTCCACAGAGCCAGTACACAGTGTTCCTTTATGGACTATGTGCCCAGCTATCCACATGGGGCTCATATAACAGACATGCGTGTTACAAGTTGTCTGGAAAGAAAGTGTGAGGAAAGCTATGAGGAAACACTCTTTAGAGAAAGAAAATTTGGCATCTCCAGGACTCTGAGTCTTTTCTTGCCCTCACTTATATTTTGAGATTAAGAAAAAAAAAAGATTCAAACTTAGTATGAAATTTTATGTTTGATATGAAAAGAGAGAATTTTCACAGATAAAGACATGTAGAGTAAGAATGGCCTTTAGCTTCCTGATGGAAAACATTTAGAAAAAGCAAGAACAACTGTAGAATTTCAAAAGGAAGAGATTTCATTTGGTTGAGCTGCTGGATTGACTTTTCTCGATAGCATGAGCAGCAGATGCTGTGAATGCCATCATGTAAGTGCCAAAGGACTGTGGTCTCTGACCCTGATGTTAACACAGATGTCCTTTGTTTTCATTCATTCTGTGTCTGGATGTATGTGTTGGGGAGTTTCTTTTTCCCTTAACTTGAGTGAAGTCTGCTCTTGGTGCATGTCTCATTTTACCTCTTGCAAGTATGAAGAGAAATCTTTAATATACATGAGAACATGAGAGTGGGTAGAAATATTCACTAGTTTAAATTACTGGGTCATGTATGCATATAAAAACTTGGAGAAGACATACTAAATTTAATCATAGTAATAGAAAATTAATTTCAAACTTTTATGTGTGTGTTTTAAGATACATGACAGATTTTACATAATGAAGATGTATTACTTTGAAAACAGGAACAATTTGATATTATACAAAAGACAATTTGGGTCCTTTAGTCCATCAGTATTTCTCAGGACTGGAGACCTGAGTCACCAGAGGAAGTACATCTGAGTGTCAGTGAGCTGTGAGCTCGATACCCAGGCCAGGTAGCCTGTCTGGACTCAGGTTTCTCTTGACACAAGGAATCATGAGTGATTTGGTATCATCCAGTTCTAGGACACCGAAGTTCATTTATGGTCCTGCCACAGAGTGGGCTGTCTTACATTGTCTGAAAATGCTCTCACTTTGAGCCACAGAAACCTTGACTAAGCACGACAAAGCTAAATCAGTCAATAGTAATAGGATTAACTGGGCATCATACTATATCTTTAAGAGCAAAATATGCTTCTTATTGGCTTGAATAGTAAAGCAGAGAGAGGTAGTCATTGGGTAGGGACCAAAATATATCTGTCAGAGCACTTGAAATAGATTTGTGGAATGAGTGGAAAGGCTGTATGTATCATGACTTTCATAGGTAATGATAGTCCCTTTCTCTCTTTCTTCCTTTTTTGTTTTGTGCCTTCCTACATAAAAACATTTAAAATTGATACGATTGAATAGATGTAAAAAAAGAATCCAGGTAGGATCAATTATCACACATCCATTACTATGTTTTAAAATATATTTAGATTGTATTTAAAGCTACAGATAACTGAGGGCAGGGACTGTGTGTGAGACTTTGCTGTTGTTCTCAGAGTTCCCACTGCAGCACTTTATACCTAAGAACTGCTCAACAAATACTATGCAGCTCACCTAACATTCCCCTCTTTTCTATTCTAGGGTGAGCCAGGTCCTCCTGGTCCTTATGGTCCCCCAGGAGCTCCTGGTATTGGACTGCAAGGTGTTAAGGTAGAGATATTTGCTTCTTTGTCCATAGACAATGATTGGGTTTATATGTGGCTTGGAAAGTAGGGCATAAACTCTCTTCATCCCTTTTCTGAAGAAGTTGCACACATTTTGGGTCATTGGACACTGCAGCATCCTGGTCTGGGACAGTTAGCATAAGAATACTCTAGATACATTTGATTGAATTGGAATGGAAACTTTCTTTGTCTCCAAATACACAGCTTCTCATAATGCACAAGTGGTTCTGTTGGGTTTCTTGGGCTTTAAACACTAATGTACAAATGCACTATTGGAAAGTGTTGCATCTTAACATGTAAACTACTACCTGCTCATATTACATAAGCAGAAACTAGAGGCCCAAAACACTGAGTGAGTAAATGCTGGCTGGAAGATTTGTAAGGAATTGGTAGGGAGCATCCTGGGATGCTCCGGGTCACACAGAACATATGAGAGAGCAGAGGTGCATACTGATTTTAGACGGACTGTCAGGACAATAGACTTTAATACAGAACTGAAAGGGTATGGTCCTAATTCAATATACTTAGAAAGTAATCAAGTGCCACTATGCACAGCATTTCAGTGACCAGTACATACAGACGCCAGGGAAGGTAGAACTTTAATGGGCAAAGTTAGTGGAAAAGCTTCTTCTAAAGATCAAGTGTGAAACAAGAGTTTAAAGAGAGGTGAAATGGCCAGCACAGGTACGGGGAAGGGGTGACATTTTAGGATGGTGGTAAGTAATAGCACATATCTTGGCCATCTCAGAAACTACCATTCATTTCTCCATCTCTGCACTATAATTTATAAGTGCCAGAGATATTGCATTGTATTTAAACAAGAACTGGTGAACATTTTAGGACAATTTGTTTGCTTTAATTCACATCAGCATCCTCTGAATTGTTCCTAATATTCCTGAATATGAAAAGTTTGGCTACTTTGCTATTTATCCCTGTTGAAATCTCCAGTTCATTTGATATCACTTTATTATTTATTTAAAAACTCACCCAGTAACTACTTTTCCTGTCTCAGGGTGAAAGGGGCCAGGAAGGAAGAACAGGCGCTCCAGGACCTATAGGAATTGGTGAACCCGGACAGCCAGTAAGTGGCAAAAGTGCGAGTGGAATAAAGTGTGAGAGTATGATTCTTATGTGTTCGTTCTGGTAAAAAGAAAGGCCCAAGTGACTCTACTGTGTATGTTTTTATGTTAAAAAGTCCATTAATAGTACAAGCTTGCAAGAACAAGGTCTGAATTACTTTTCATGCTTGAAATAAGGTTATGTGTGCGTGTGTGTGCGCGCGTGTGTGCGTTAGTGTGCATGCAAGGTATTTTCAACTGGCCTTTCCTCACTGTAATCTCTCATAAGATTAATTAGCTTGGCAAAGGGAAAGGGTTCTCAGGTGTCAAAGTTCCCTAGGAGGTGACAGATCTGGACTGAGGTGTCCTGTCTACACATGGTAACTGATACCACTGTAGCCCTGAGAACCATGGCGGCTAGAATCTGAGGCTCAGGATCTTCTCATTACGTAATCCTTGAGGATGCTCTAAAGTTAGGCTTGGTGATGGGACAAAGATAAAGCCTGTTTTATTCCCAGCTTCCACCTTATGGAGCTTTGAAGTTTGCTATTGTTGGAAAAGGAAAAAAGGATTCTGTCAAGAGAGATCTGAAGAGGAAATGAATAAAACATGACTCTTCTGTTATAAGGAACTTCATAACTTCTCAAGCGATCTTTATTTTGAGCAAAGAACTGTAGCTGGCTCACCAAGGCAGAAGCAAAAGCAGCTAGCCACAGCAGCAGCCCCCTTAGTTGGTTTTGCATTGCATATTGTCTCATGGAATCACTAACAGAAATATACGTCTTTGCAGTACCTGTGATGTAAACAGCAGTATATTGTCTGAGCTTTTGTATTATATGAATGTGTGTGTGTGTGTGTGTGTGTGTGTGTGTACATCACATGATTTCAGGGCACTTGGGGGACCCACAGAGGGCATGAGACCCCTCGGAGCTGGATTGGCAGGTGGTTATGACCTGTTGCGGTATGGGTCTTGGGAACTGAACTGGGGTTTTCTGCTAGAGTAGAAAGATCTCTAACTGCTAAACTATCTCTCTAGCCCCTAATTTGACTTCTTTATAGAGTCTGGACATCAATTCCTCATTAACATTTTATCATCTCATTGTAACTAAATTATTTATTAGGGTTATTGTAATTTTCAGTTAACATTTATTTTTACCCATTTATCTTTTTACCAGTTTCTTGGTTTTCTCTTACTCCCTCTTCTTTCTTAATTTTATTTTATAGACAAGGTCTTGTGTAGCCCAGGCTTGCCTCAAGCTTCTTATACAGCCAAGGATGACCTTGAATTTCTGATCCTCCTGCCTGTACCTCCAGAGAACTGGGATTACAGGTGTGTGCCAAGCTACCGAGTTCATGTTGTACTGAGTATTGAGCCCTGGGATAAATGGATCCTAGGCAAGTACTCCACTAACTGAACTATATCTCCAGACTTTCATCTTTTCCATCTGGCTGAGTTCTTTCTTTCTTTTTTAGGAAGTGCATTTTTAGTAGCTGTTTTGAGTGAAAGTTTATTAGTAGTAAGCTCAGTCATTGGCTTACGCAGTAATTTGTTTTTTAAATATTAGCTAGTATTATGTGTTTATATATTATATAATCATATGAATCAATATTGTAGATATTAAATATAAATGTTAAATTTTAAATAATCTTAAAATATTAAAGTTTTTAAAACTTTAACTTTGTTTATTATTTGTGTGCAGGCATGTACACTGACAGGGTGGTTCTCTACTTTCATCATGGGGTCTAGGGATTAAACTCAATTCATCAGAGTCCTCAGCAATCCCCTTTACCGACCAAGCCTTCTCCCTGGCCCTTATCTTCTTACCAATGATTGAAACCTACATTGCATGTAAATTCCACTATATACCACCAACAATTGTGGCCTTCGAGGTGTTTGCAATATGTTTCTAACTTTTGAATAATTTACCCTTTATCCAGTCCACCATACTTTGCATGCAAATGAAGGCTTATGTTTGCACCAATCACAAAACTGCCTCTTTAGCACAGGTCCAACCGCACTCACTCTCTCTCCCCTTGTGGCCTAGATGGAAATAGCTGGAGGGTCATCTGAACCCATCTAGGCTGGCACAAACTATTTCACATAACCCTGGGCAAGGCTGTATTTTCTGGAGCCAGGGAGATCACTGTGCAATTCTCTCAAGGTGCCTTTAAGTGATCACTGTGGTGGCATAAGGCTAGTGAGGCTGGATGTTTGATTGGCAATCCTTTTGTTCTAGGCAGCCAGGGCAGCGAGAGTCCAATATTTGCTCATTAGGGAGTCAAAATGCCCCAACCCTCAAGTGATTTGCTCATTTAAAGCAAATGAACATCAGGGTGCTTAAGAACATAAAGAAGTTCTCATTAACTTTAAAGTGATTTAACAGCTTAACAGTACATAACACCTGTCCAGTGTCTCAGAGAGCAGGGCACTCTCTCCAGTTTTCATGGTCATAGCCACAGCTTAGAGGCTGATATATAGTGTACCTCTGTGTGTGACTTGTCCTTCGGTTGGTAGCCAGAACACTTTCACAGTATAGTCTGAGCACCCAATGCTTGTGTATTTCCCTGTTTGCCAAGCCACAGCTATGCAAATCACACTGACCTGATCTAGTGATGGACTGTGACTCAAGGGGAAAAAGAGGTTATAACAAATGTGAGTCGGAGACCAGTACAAAGATGTAATATCAAAAGTCACAAATAAAACCCGAGTTTTGCATTTATTTAGTTTTGTAGTTATTTAGAATAATTCTGAATTATTTAGAAGTAGCAGAAGGATTGGAAAAGATTCTGCTGAAGTCTGTTTGCTTTTGCCTCTTTGCCTGATCATTTCTAATGGTCTCAGGCTTGGTACTACTCTTGGTAGCACAGTACTATAAGGGTGTGAGTAGCTGAAGTAACACTTGAGCTCCGATACCTAACTCTGAACTGTTAGCCCTCCACATAATTACCGCTAGTGTGGCACTTATTCGGTAAGTATAAGTGACTCATAAAGAGAAAATTGTCCAGGACTCTCAGGGTAATCTCTTTATGTGTGCAAGGTTATTCAGAGTACTTTCAATAAAAAGTATGCTCTGAAGTAGAACTCTAATTATTTCCAGGTTAAAAATAAAATAGATGACGTGGTTTGAAGACAATGGCCAATTTTTACTATGTGTTAGCACACTTATCTTTAATGCTTGCTTTTATGAAAGGAAGTAACACTATAAATATAATGAGTACTCATATTTTATTTCATTGTTAATGTCTCCATAAAGCTCTTCACTGATGAGGCTGCACTAATTAGGTTTCTGCATTATACATATAGTTGGTAAGAACCAAATAAGTTTGCCATGGTTACAATTGCTCCTCATGGATTTACAAAGGACAGTGAGATTGTTTTTGGAAGACTTTCTGTCTTTAAAAGGTGATACACAGGTCGAGGGGTGCAGTAGTTCAGTTGGTAGAATGCTTGCCTACCATACAGGAGGCTCTGGGTTCAATCCCCAGGACTATATAAACCCTCTGTGGTAGCTCAAAGTTATCTCAGGACTAAAGAAGTAAAGACAGGAAGATCAGGGTCATCCTTGGCTACAGGAATTCGGCGTCAGGTCAGCCTGAGCTACATGAGATCTTATCTAAATCAGCACACACACAAATTAAAATTAAAAAATAAAATGATAACCATTTGCAAATAAACATGCTCTTTTATAAAGTGATAGTTTGTATGGATGGCCTAATAAACTGAGAGCTTCATTCATCTAGAACCTACTATTTCTCTTCTCAGGTTAATAACCATCTTTTTTCATGTGTACTTAGCAGAAGGACTGCAGAGCATACTAATGGTATGGAATATTACTCCAGCGTGTGGTGCTTACGCCTTGGATCGCTGGGTTTTAAATCACCTGTGTGCCCATGCACATTAGCTCTGCCCTCCGGACTGCATAGTTTCTTAGAGTGCCAATGTTTTTGCTTTCACCTTTGCTGGCATGTTCTGAAAATTCAGAAAAGAAGAAGGAGAACCGTATTTGTTCTGTTCAGCATGCCTCTCTCCACACAGTTCAATGCAAGCCAATCTCCCACAGACTAGATTATGTACAGACTTCCACAAAAGGACAGGTGTAGCAATGGTAGGACTCAGATCCATTTTTTAAATCAACCTAGTAAGTATGTATTGGATGATTAATACTTATGAAAGTGTTTAGCATTAGAAATACTAAACTATTTAAATTCACAACTGTTAATATATGATACCCCTTACTGTTGCATTTAAATCTAAAAGTCACTGAAATTAGCTTTTAATGATCACAAAAGACTGCTTACTCTCTGGGACCAGGAGTGGGTCAATCTGCTGTCCTAGAGCCAGCACAGTTCCTTTTACCTATTGAATATTTGATGTATTAGTCAGTGTTCTGTTGCTGTGATAAAACACTGTTACTAAAGAAACGTGGTGCTGGTAGTGGGATGTTTCAGCTTACATGTTACAGTCCATCATGAAGAGAAGCAATGGGGTAAGCTCAACCAGAAACCTTGAGGCAGGAACTGAAGCAGAGGTCATGGAATGAAAGCTGCTTACTGGCTTGCTCTCCATGTCTGCTCAGAAATGCTTTCTTATAGAACTTGGGACTACCTGTCTGGTGGTGGCAACAACCATAGTGGGCAGGGTCCATCACATCAATAATTAATTTAAAATAACACCCCTGCAGACATGCCTAAAGTCTAATATGATAGAAGCAATCCCCCCAAGTTGAAATTTCTCTTAATAAGTGATTCTAGTTTCTATGAAGCAGACAAAAATTAACTTGCTCAAGTGACCCCCTGCCAACTTGACACATAAACACCACTGTAAATCTCTGTAGCAGAGACCTAAGACATAAGTAGGGGCCATGGGAAAAAAAACTGATGCCTGGTACCATGTGGTAGGGTTGGCATTGCTGAGGAGGTTAGGAGGCTATGATAAATGTAAAGCCCCAGTGGCCATGGAAACCTCAGAATTGACAGGTCACAGAAAGAAGCTGAGGCTTGATACTAGGTGGCAGGGTTGGGGTCCCCACAGAGCCCTGGAGAGGTGATTGGCAAAGATTAAGCCTCTGTTGCTGTGGAGACCCTAGTATATTAGAGACAGCAGGACAGCTGCATGAATACTGAGGACAGTGACAGGTGTGGAGTGGAGCTGGCCTGAGCCTAGGAGACATCAGTGTGTGTTATGATGGCAGAGATGGAGGGCTGGGACTACCTACGTCCTTTGAAGTCCAGAGGATCATGAGTAAATAACAAATGTCAGACACAGATCTACAGGATTTGGATTATGCTGCTGAACTTGGGTTTTGCTGTGATCTGAGTGTGACTGTGCTCTTCCTTCTTAGAATAAAAATAACTGTAAATAAAATGTAACTTATTTTGGATTTTAGAGGAGCCTACCATTAAAAGATTTTAGAAATCCAAAGAGAACTTGGAATTTTTTCTTTTACTGGATATTTTATTTATTTATATTCCAGATGCCATCCCCTTTCCCCATTTCCCTTCCCTAGAAAACCCCTATCCCTTCCCCCCTCCTCCTTTTTGCTTTTATACCATTTTAATTACATGCAAGAATTAAGGTCAATTCTAGGTTGAGGAACTAGCAATACAATAGATGCAAATAGTCAAGGAACAAACAAGACAATAAACAGAAATAGTCAAAGAATAAGCAAGGCAATAAACAAAATTCCATGAACACTCTTGTGATCACTGTTTCTAAGGGCTTATCAGGATGACCAAAATATCTGAGCCTACTTCCCTGTCCTAGCCCAAAGTCATTTTCATGTCTGATGCCTACTTCCTTATTCTAGCCTAATATTTAGATTCCTGCCTGAAATTACTTCTTTGTTCTAGCCTAATGTCAGACTCCTGCTTGAAGCCCACTTCCTTATCCTTGACCAATGTCATATTTCTGCCAAGCAGCCCATTTCCTTGTCCTTGGCCCATGTCAGATTCTTGCCAAGCAGCCCCAAAAGCTCTCTGCCTCTCACCCTTTTTTATTTCATAAAGAAGACTGGAGCCTGTCTCAAGTCATTTGATTGTACACATTCTAATTATGTTAGTGTGTTGAAATCCGACATGTCAGTTACGGAGGTCTATCAATCAGCTTTTGTTTTATTGCCTTGAGTATCATAGAACCTTGGTCTTCTGAAAAAACCTCACAAGTACTGGAAGAAGTGAGTCAGGCATTAAGCAGAAGCAAGAGGGTAATGGGCTTGATTATTGCTGGTATAACAGCTTTAATTACATTAATTGCTAGCACCACTGCTTTTGCAATTGGTTTGACACAAGAAGTTAAGACAGCTAATTTTGTTAATAATTTAGCAAAAAATGTTACTAATGTGTTTAATATACAAGAGGATTTAGATAGGCATTTGGAACAACGGATTGATGCTCTTTATCCTATTCAAATTATTGGAAGGAGGTTCAGAGTTTAAGAGTAAGGAGCCATCTTGAATGTCATGCCAAATACCATTGGATTCATGTTAGTTCTAAAATTTACAGTGGTAGTCATTATAATTAGAAAAAAGTTTAAAATCACTTGCTGTGTATTTTACATAATTCTAACACCTCTCTGGATATTTTAACTTTGCATAGTGGTCTTATGAATTTAAAGAATGCTGCTCTGCTGAGTGTTGATGCAGCAGATAGTGCTGATAAAATTTCTCGTGGCCTGAGGTCAGTATTTCTATTTTGGCCAAGCTTCAAGACTGGCATATATAGCTTGATCATGCTAGCCCTTTTAGTCCTGGGAATACTTTTATTTCTGCCCATCATGTTAAAGATTGTCTTCAACAACATCAACATGTTGACAGCCAAAGTACATGGCTTGAACCTGAAAATGGACCCCTAGATAGAGTTATTAAATTAACAGGCTGGCAAGCCTAGGATGAGTAAGATTCTGCACAGACCCTTACCAACCTAAGACTGAAATGTATTGCTTTTGATAATGCATGTTCCACGATGGGTAAGGAAGGCATTCTTCTAAGAACTTGGATTTTTAATGTGTAGAAAACTACAAAGACTGGGATTTTAAGCAATAAGACTGTTTTATATCGTGATATTCTCATGAGCTCTTGAGAACAAGGAATAAAGGAAAGGTTATAGTTAATGTGTTTATGTGCTAAGTTGACACAGAGTCAGTAGTGCTGCTTCTCTTATGTCTACTTGACACAAACTGGAGTCATGTAGGGAAAGGGAACCTCAGTTAAGGGACTTTTCACATTAGATTGGCCTGTGGGCATGTCTGGGGGGCGGGCATATTCTTAGTTGCTAACTGAAGTAGAAGTGTCCAGACCACTGTGGGCAGTGCCGACCCTACACAGGTGGGTCTAAGCTATCTATATAAGAAAGGTAGAGGAACCAAGCCATTTACTGGTTTGTTGCTTTCAGGTTCCTGCCTTGAGCTGATACCATAGTGTTCCTTGATAATAGACTGTACTTTGTAAACCAAATAAACTTTTCCTCTTTAAGTTGCTTATGGCAATGGTGCTTTATCACACTAACAGGAAACAAACTAATAGATTTGGTAAATGTTTATTTAAAGAATGAGTGGACTCAAATATAGACATTCCTCTTATTTAATGTATTTGTGGTTTTCATTTGTTCTATCATTAGGGAAGAGCTGTTGTTAATGCTTTTGTTGTTAAAGTTACTAATATTAACTTGGAACTTCTTAGTTTGCAATCTAGTTTTTATGCTCATTTAAAATTTCCCCCTCTAATTAATGGCTTGGCCATTAGAGCAAACTGTCATAGATATTAGACTTTTGATTAAAGTTTGGGAGTTAAAGCTAGCTTTCCCATAAGCATTGCAATTTAAATTGAATTTCATGTAAGCCTTTTCTTTTAATTAAGTCTTTACTAAGTAGGCTATGTATAAATAACAAAGACCAGCTTTTAAAATATACAAAATTAGGGAGAAAAAAAGTGTTCAAGACTGGGATAAAGTTAGGCGTGCTTTTTTTTTTTTTTTTTTTTTGAGATGAGGTCTCTGTCTATAACTCCGGTTATATAGACCAGGCTGGCCTTGAACTTTCAGAGATCCAACTGCCTCAGCCTCCCAAGTGCTGTGGTTCAGGGTAAGCTGTATCACGTACGGTTAATTACTTTCTTACATGTGAATGCATGAGAACATCAAGCTGAGTCCTGCCCTCTACTGTTCTTGTGCAGAAAACATTTCTAAAGCTGTCGGCGTGTATGCTGGAGATCTGAGTTAAAGCCCCATGACTGTCCAGCAATTACCTTACCCACTGGCCATCTCCTCAGTGCCTAAAACTAGGAATATTTTAATTTTTATTTATTTTTTGATATATATGATTTTTTTTGCCTGCATGTATATCTGTCCACCACATGCATGCTTGATTTCCAAGGAGGCTGGAAGAGGGCATTGGATCTTCTGAAACTGGAATCACAGACAGTTGTGAGATACCGTGTAAGTGTTAGGGAATTAAACTAGACCCTCTGGAAGAGAAGCCGGTTCTCTTAACCTCTGACTATCTCTCCTGTCCCCCAAATAGGAAGTTTTGAAAGTCAAAAAGTTTTCCTCCTCTTGAAAAATAAAAGAATAAAAAAGGAGAAAGTTTTGAAACATGATTTAAGCTATTTCTTCTAATGGACGGATTGATAATCAAGTTCCCTGGCCAAGAGAGTTGGCTTGTGATAGCAGTCTACTGAATTTCTACAAGCACCAGAGCCAGCACACTGCAAACACAGTAACTCACACCTGTAACCGCAATACCATCGGGGTGCAGACACATAGGTCTTGAGGCTTACTGGCTAGCCAGCCTGGACAGCCAGGTTCAGTTTGAGATGGTGTTTCAAAAGGTACCACGGAGAGCTGAAGAGACGGCTCAGGAGTTAAAAGTATGTGTTGCTCGTGTGGAGATTTTAGTTCAGTTCCCACCATCGATGTCAGATGTCTCACAATTGCCTGTAACTCCAGCTCCAGGGGACCCCCATACCCACACATATTAAAATAAAATGTCCAATGGTAATACAGGCCCCATTTGTCTTTTTTTCTTTCAGTTTTCGTTAGTGGGTTTTCTGCCAGCCACTTTGCCTCACACTCGTATTGTTTTCTTTCCTACTATGTGAGAAACCCTCACCTTTCTTGGTACCTTCCTGAGAGGAGAGCCTCAAGGACTTCTTAAAGCCACTGAGACTAAATGTCATGGTGCACCTCCCCTCCCATTAGTGATCTCATGAAGATATAGGATTTAGGTATAAAATTGTTTCTGAATTCACCCAGCTCCAGAAATAACTCCTGTGTCAGGTCAGAAAGTGAGACAGAGGGAAACTGTTAATGCTTCCCACAGGCTCATGGAGAGCTTTCCCCAGGCCCTCCCAATATTTACTTAAATGAGTAAGTCTCTCTGAGCCCTTCTCCAGACCACACGATCCTGGATTTCTTGTCTCATGGGAATTATTTTCTTACCTTTATTCTGAAGCATCACCTACTTCCATTTTCCCCTAATTTGCCATTCAGACAGGAGGAATATTGAATCCAGTGGAGAATTCTCTTACTCCCAGTTGATCAGAATGGATTTTACTCAAAGAATTCTTACTACAAAGGATGGAGTCCTCAATGTTACCATGTCTGTGGGAACTGAAATTAACCATTCTCTTTGGCCTTTTTCTCCTACCTTACCACCTCCCTTTCCCCTTTCTCTTCTATTTCCCATTCTCTCTTTTCCTAACCAGGGTCCCCGTGGTCCCGAGGGAGCACCAGGAGAGAGGGGCCTACCAGGAGAAGGATTTCCAGGACCAAAGGTAACAAAAGCTTTTGATACATTGGAAAAAGTACTTTGTCTAAAATGGCCACGAAGTATAAATCATTATAAGCTAGCTAAGTGTTTTCCTGGCCACTCTCACTCTATCGAGTAAAAGAATACGCAAATTTCCCCAGAACCTGAAAGCACATATGCATGAAATTTGCAATTATAAAATAAGTAATCAGCAGACTTGCATTTCATGTAATTACTATATATTAATTAGAAAATTATCTTAGTTTATAGGTACTAAAGCCACACACATTTGTTTCTAGTCCAAAAGTTAAATTGCTGAGTGTAGCTATGGCAACCCTTGGTCCTCAGCTCTCGTTTACTAAACACAGATAAGAAGGAGAGTCTAACACCCCAGGTTTAATAGGATTGCCATAAACACTGTAAGAAAAATAACTTTAACACAAAGAACAAGACATTCTGAAAGACCTGCCTTTGTTCTAGAATTGGGAAAGCAGGCTTCCTACTGCTTTCTCTACTCAATGTGTTGGCAGTTCTTTCTGTAATGTCCCAAAATAGCAGGTACTTAAGGATTTATGAGCCAGCCATTGATAACAGTTTCAATGACTCAGCTCTGTTGTAGTCTGAAAATAGCCACAAACAATGTGTAAATGATGGCTGTGGTTGACCGGTAAAACCATATTAACAAAAAATAGGGAATGGGGTCTGGTTTGTGGTCTATGGTTGGCCAACCCCTGCTATCTGTAGCATAACTGCCAGAGGCCACATAGAAAATAATTTTCTAAGGTACTTAGGGCCCTATCCTCAGAATTTCAGAATAAAACACATATTTGAAATCTTGCTTCATTTCTAAAATCTTTCTCTGAAGCATACATGTTGAGGTACATACACAATCCTGAGAGCTATATGCTGCTCTCTAAGTGTCTAACAATCTCTACACATGTCAAAAAGTTATAATATGTAGTTTCTTAAATATCTTAGCATCCAGTAGATTTACATTTATGTTTAACATAAGCAATCTAGAAAATTCAATTAGCCAGAATTATTTCTATTTATGTCTGTGCATCATGAAGCAGAGTGTGTGTGTATGTGTGTGTGAGAGGGAGAGAAATAGACATATATATATATATATATATATATATATATATATATATATAGAGAGAGAGAGAGAGAGAGAGAGAGAGAGAGAATGTTATGTTCAATACTAAAATACTAGAAAGTATAATATTTCATGGCATGCCTAAATGACACACACAATATATATTTTTATACAATACAAAAATGATACAATGTGGGGCCTGGAGAGATGGCTTAGCAATTAAGAATACTAGCGAGTCTTCCAAAGAACGCACATTTGATTCCCAGAACTTGTATGGTGGCTCATGACCATATGTAATTTCAGTTCTAGGGGGATTGATGCCCTCTTGCGTCCTCTAATGGCATCAGGCATGAATGTGGTGTACAGACATACATGCAGGCAAATCACCACACGTATAAAAAATGATATGATAAACTCTGGAATATAATAACCCAAGGACTCCCAACTTATCAAGAAAATGCCATAATCCTCAGTGATACTTTAGGATCAGGAATAAATGACTGCGTCCTGGGTAACAATTAGAGCACTTTATTTTCCCACCAGGCTATTAATGAGAGTTTTCTATGGGTAGCTAATTTGCAATAATGTGGGAAATATGTAGTTAAATTATGGTGTTTTGGTTTTTATTTATGTTTCAGTAACAAAATATCCTGACAAAAAGCAACTTAGAGGACAAACTTATTTTATCTCAACATTTTAGGTTATAATACATCATAGCAGAGAAATAACAGCAGCAGGAGTTTGAGGGAGCTGGTCATATCACATCCACAATCAAGAACAGAGAGAAAAATCGCATGCATGCTCACTTGCTTGCCTGTGTATATTCTGTTCTATTTCTTCACTCATGTACAGTTTAGGGCCACACAGAGTGGACTGTGTTTTCCCACATTGACTAGCTAACTTAAGACAACCCCCCACAGACATGTCCACAGACCAATCCAATGTAGATAGTCTTTCGAGACTCTTTTCCAGGTGATTCTACATTGTGTCAAGTTGAGAATTAAAGCTAACCATCACATATTGCTATAGAAAGGAATATAGTCATAGTCTCTGGCTTCTCAGGAAACATTATTTTCTTTTACCTGTGGTTCTAATAAATTCATTAACCTAATGTCACTTCTGATTGAGTCTTGTGGCTTTATTTCCTTATAAAGAGACAGAATATTAAGACTTTATAGATATAAGATCAGGGTAAACCAGATACATTGTGTGATTTAGTTTAGCTTAAACAATAATTTTCATGAATCCTTATAAGATTTTCAGTGAATTTTTATAAATTCAGACACAAAAGATTGAATCAGTAATCCAGTTCCAGGAAGCATCAGAGACAAAGTTTTCTTAACACAATGGATTAATTTTTATCACTGGTAAGAAAAGAGGCTTGCTATTACTACTCATGCCACATTATTGATTGAATCTCTGATGAGATTGGAACTCATCTTTTTCCCAACTTGAGTGGTGGTGTATGCGTATACATGTGTTTTGTAGATAGACTCATTCCTGTTTAAATGTTGAAACTAATCTTTTCTTCTGAGTTTCAAATCTCAACGTTAGAATTACTTTTTTGGAATAAGCAATGAATCTGAATTCTTGATTTAAAAAAAATAATTTGGACCATAATTATCAGTAACTATAATGTAATCTCTGTAAACTCTTATTTTTCTTTGTGTACTGATGCCTTTCCCATTTGCTTTTAGGGTGAAAAGGGTTCTGAAGGACCAATTGGCCCACAAGGATTACAAGGCCTGTCAATCAAAGGGGATAAGGTACTGAATATCAAGAATATAATGGAAGCCATTATAAAGTAAAATTATTTTTGACATTGCTCTTTATTCATCTACAGTTTGAATTGCACATAATATGACAAGCATCCCACACAGTTATCTGGGTAATTATAAACTAGCAAGGTGAGGTATTTTACGATGCAGGATGAATTATGATGTGAAAATTCATATTATTTATACTTCAAATAACTTCTTACTTATTCGAGTTCTAACTTTCAATGTATCCTGTCATCAGCAATACATCTTTGAAACAAGATATTAGCAAAAGGTAATTCTTGGGAAAAAACACAACTGTTCAAAATATATTGATAAAGGGATGAAAAGGAAGGAGAGACGATGCAATTATATTATGATCTCAGACATTTTTTAAAAAAGCACATTGACTATAATCTATTATATGATTATTTTTCTATGTATCTCTCCATCTATCACTGGGTTCTCACTCACAATTATTACTTTTAAATGGGGCTAGAGTAGGGGAATTATTTAAGAGAAGTAGCTTTGCTGTCCTTTATCAGGGACTTTCAGAGTCTACCTAAGGTTAGGAAGAGGTTACTGGGTCACTGCAGTGAGGGAGACCTATGGTGATAGAACCAGTAGCACCTTATGACAAAGATGCAAGACTAGTTTTTCCATAGACTTTGGGCTTGCGTTGGGTGGTTTGGGGAACATTCATGAAAGCACAAGCTGGTATTGGATTAGATGCTTTCAGGAGTGGAGATAATTTTATGATTGAGCATTTTAATGAGTCTCCTCTAGAAATTGTGGGAAAATGGAACTTGGATGAGTTGTGGCTGGTTGAAAAAAAGTAGAAGCACTGAGTTTTAGACAATATACCAATTTTAGTCAATATCTGACCTATTTTTGAAATTTGAACAGCATTCATTTGTCTCTGCTCAGACGTGATAAAAGAGTATTCTTGCTTCTTTCTTGGTCCATGGCAGTGTATGGTGGTCTTTGAACTTCCATTCGCTGCCTGGTCCTAGCCAGGACTAGAATTGAAGCTGATAATAGAAACCACTAGAAGCTGATCAACCTTAAAAAGCAGTGGGAAGTGAAAGTGTCCAGAGGGAGGAGATATTTGCTCTATGCTCTATGTGTATGTATAAATGTGTTCAGGCATGTGTACATGCACACACACAAACACACACATGTATACAAACACATGACATATGCACACCCCCAAGCACATACATACACATGCATAATTAAAAGAAGATGTCATGAATTTTAGAGGAAGTAGGGGGCACAGGAGCAATTAGAGGGGAGAGAAGATGGATAGAATTGATATAAGTACAATATTCTTGCATGAACTTCTCAGAGAATAATAAAATAAATATAAGAAGATATGCATGCAAAAACTAGCGACCTTATAACTATTGAGTTATTTATCTGTTAACCTCTAAGTATGTCATTATATTGTTTATATTAGAAGAGCAACTGATAACACTATCCCAGGTGTTGGGTTTCAATCATGAGAGTTATATTCTCTTCAGATTAATTAGCAAAAATAAAGATAAACGGTGATTCATACAAATTTTATATCTAATATAACTCTTGGTTCAAATAGCTTAGCTCCAGGTGTACCTGCAGCTGCCAATACTTTAGAAATGTGTAAAGTTTTCTTTTTTTCCTTTGAGGCTGTGAGAACACGAAGGTTGTGAACCTAGTGAATTAACTTTCCAGCTGTCACTGGGACATGGTATTTGTGCTTTCACATCTGGAGTTCATAAAAAGAAACCTGAAATACCTGCACAGCATCACATAGCAAAGCTTTTATTTATTGTTCTCTTACAAATCCAACTCTGTCCTCTCTCTCTTTACTGGTCTTTTTCCTTTTCCTATTATTTTAAGTAAACCATGAGGTTCAGAAACTTTGGTGTATGACTCAGGTGATAAGGTAATACTTCTATCTTAAGGGCTTACAAATAAATAATTGGTTTAAAATTAATGAAATTATTTATTTATTTTCTTTAATAAAATTTTTAATTGTTTATATTATGCTGAGTAATATAAAGACATTTTCATACACACACACACGCATACACACACACACACACACATATAGTATTTTGGACACATTTCCCTTCCCATAATCCTTCTCTCTCCCTTCCAGTAGTTCCCTTTATTCCCATAACAGTTGTACTTCCTCTTTTAAGTCATATATACAGGATTTTAGGAAACATATATGATCTAGAAATATGAATGAAAGAAAATATAATATTTGTTTACCCAAGGCTATCTTAATTCTCTGTATCATTTTCTCCAGTGTATTCACTTAAAAATGTCTCTTCATTTATTAACTACCCCACGTGGTGGTTAGAGGACATCTTTGTGCAACTGGTTCTCCTTTCCACTTTTACATTGGTTCCAGGGATCAAGCTCAGGTAGTTAGGCCTTGGGGGATAGTACCTTTAGCTACTGAGCTGTCTTGATGACCTACTTGCTTCCATTTTTTTTAAGAAACTGGGGGGCTGTTAAAGGTCTTAAAGGCTAAGCTCACAACCAAAAAAAAATTTTCTTTTTGTAAATGATGTAACTTCATTTTTAATGGCTGAAAGAGTTGCATGATATATATGTACCACATATTTTACCCATTCTGTGCTTTTAAACATCTAAAATTGGTTTCATAACTTAGCTATTATGAATAGTGCTAGAATAAACATTGATGACAGCTTAGACATTTAATTGGAGACTCTGTATAAAGGGCGCCTTTGATTTCTTTGCTGACGACTTGCAGATTATTGGTTTTGAGTTGGGTTCTGGAGTCAGCAGGCTTGAAACTAACTACTGTCATCTGACACATCCCAAGTTATGGGATATAGTGGGGATTCTTGAAGGTCATCTGGGAAGTAGAATCACAGTAAGGAGTAATAAAGATGATTAAAGCAGACAAGGCATGAAACCCACTTAGTTCAGGACCCCCTGGAGAAGAAATCAAGTCCTGAATCAGCACAGTCTATCTCTGAATCAAAATTGGAAAAATTTTTATTCTAGGGCATACCTTGACACAAGTTTAACATACTTTAATTTATATAAAGCCTGGTCCAATTGTGTGATTTTGTGTAAAAGTAAAATTTGCCAGTAACCAAATGTTAGTGGTACACAGGCACACCTGGTCATTTACCTTTTACCTATGGTGGTTTATATGCCACCAAAGCAGCAACCTTTAGTTATAAAACACACCTTATTTTGGCTGTCAAGATTCATTATCTAATCTTATAAGAAAAGGTTTGTTAATTGGGCCTGGAGGTACAAGGCTGTACTTCCAGCTACTCTAGAGGCTTAGGCAGGGGGATCTCAAATTCAAAACATGACTGGACCATGGAGTCAGATCAGGGTTAATAAGAGCAACCTTGAAAGTTTGCATATCAAAATAAAAGGTATCTTCATGATAGAAAGCTTGCCTCACATGAATGTGACCTCAAGTTCAATTATAAATACCTTGATAAAAGACGTTTACACATCCTGATGTAGTCTAAATATGATTGCCATTGAAACAGACACAAAGCTTATTTGTCCATGCTGCTAAACAGTCCCGAATTTCTAGAGCTGTCATGCCTGCCTTGCTTAGGATTTTTCCTAAGTATTCAAAAATAGTATGCTTTTTTTGCCTGTCCTTTATCACTCTCTTCTGTGAGCTCTACTGCGGATGGACTGCTTGGACCTATGTTTCCCATGTTTGACCTGTGTTCCTGGCACACAATAAACACTCAAAAAATTTATAGGAAAACTTGTGAAATGAATGATCAATACTGTCACACACACATATAATAATTTTTTGAGACAGGGTCTCTCTATGTAGCCATGGCTGGCCTGGAACTTGCTATGTATGTAGACTAGGCTTATATCTGACTCACAGAGATCCACCTGCCTCAGCTTCCTCAGTGCTAGGATTAGAGGCATGTGCCACCACACCTGTCCTCCCTGGCAACTTCTACTTAGTTTTCTCAAAGATGTTTCTTCAATTCTTTCATTTTGCTGCCTTTCATATTTAAATTTTGTCATATTATTGGAAGAATTTAAAAATACTTTTCTCCAGTTTGTCTCTCAAGTCTCATTTTTCTCACATTTTGTTAATTTTATACTTTTAAATATTATTAAATATTATTCCTAAGGAATGATTTTAGTCTTTATAACTTTAGATGGTTTGGATTGTGAGAGAAATGGTAATAGCTACTAAATGTAAATTGATACAAATTCTAAGTTGTTCTTATGTGCTCAGGATTATTTATGCATACACAAATACATACATGTATATAATGACAATGAATAAAAAAGTGGTCATGAATTTGAAAGAGAATGGGGGTTATATGGGAAGATAGGACAGGGAGGGAGCAGGCAAATGATGCAATTATAATGTCAAAAACTAAAATAGATAATAAAAGTTTCACTAAAGATAAACAATGTAGATAAAAAATGAATACACCACTAATTGTTTTGGTATATTTGCACTATAAATTATAGAAATGGTTAGAAGATTGAATTTTTCCATGTTGAATTTGTTAAAAATATCAAGGTAGATTGCAATCTAGGCCAGCTCTAGATGATCAAGGCATGGGTAAATGAAGTTTTGTCTGCTTATATTTTGACAGGGGGATCTGGGACCTGTGGGACCCCAGGGACCAGCAGGTATTCCTGGCATCGGAAGTCAAGGTGAACAGGTAAGTAGTTCTTCTAAAACCTTCTAATACCTGGGGAAGCTGAAAGATTTTTCAAATGTAAATGGTGTGGAGTCGGAACATCAGCTCTATCTGCTATTGGTCACTCTCTGCCTTTAGCCATGTACGCTCATTTAATCAAAGCCCCCAGCAAATACAGTTTTATGGCCTTAGTTACAAAGTGGCAAGCAGGTGGATTAACATTTATGGCTATGGTTTGAATTGTGATGTGGCCCGGAGACTTCATAGTACTCCCTTGACCTCCACTGACGAGGGAAGCAAAAGGTTTGAAATGAGGTAATTCGAAATCTCATTGTTGACCTGCGATGTTTATTCCTAAGAATTCTTTATCATTATTACTATGTATTTGTCATCCCAATAAACAGTGAGGTTGGCGGCTACTTCTTTTGTCACTTCCTCATGCTTGGCAGAGTTTCCAGTCTAATAAGCTAGGAGGATTAAGGTACAGAAGAAGTCAAGGTCGTTCTGTGACTAAGTATTGAGGTGGTAATTAAGAGCTGGGCATTCTGGCTACTGATGAGGCCAGATTGACTCACAAGACCTGCAGTTTGTCTGCTGGGCCCTGCAGGGATACCTTCTGGTTCTAGGATTCTGGCAGTGCTGTTACATCCGCGGTTTTGTGGTTTGTTGGGGCTGAGATACAAATCTGGGACTCAGATGAGTTCAAAGACAGACCAGTCTGTCCAGATGGTCTGTGGATTCTGGACCTCCCACTTGTGGCTTCCTGGACTCCTGTTTCCTTTAATGCCGGTTCTTAATGGAGATTGTTATTTATTTATTTTGTTAGTATTTCTTTCTTCATTACAAAAGAAAATGATAAAAACTTACAGGCAAAATGTCTTTATGAGGCTGACCTTTCATGGGCAGGAGAGTTTGTAAACTTCTCTGCACAAAGAAAGCATTCTTTACGGTTTTTAAGAGAAATGGCACAAATACTACTTAAATTTAATCTCTGTTCATGCAGCCTTTCAATGGCCTCAGTCAAGCACATTCTTGTGCTCACCGTTTCCTCCTGCATTACTTGCTTTTAGAAATACATCTCTCCATTCTTCTGTTTATGAGGAAGATCTGTTTCTAGCAACCCACAGACAATGTCCTTTTCGATGGTCTGTAAATTTCATTATATATTGAGAGACTTGATCGTGTTTCACAGAATAAAATAGACTATAAATGATCATATACAGATACGTATGTGGTTCTACAGATACATATAGGTATGCATGCTCCATGTCCATGCTGTGGTACTTAGTTCCTTGTTCATTAAGTGACTGATACTTGTGGGCAGCTATAGAAGTTAGAGAAGTGGCTTCTTAGAACTACCACAGTTCCCCTAAATTATATAGACTGCTCAGTCTCATCAATCATACAAAAAGGAATGATATTTACTTTTAATTTTATATGTATGAGTGTTTGCTACATGTATGTATGTACATGATGTGTGTGCATGCCTATTATTTGTGGATACCAGAGGAAGGCATCAGATTCCCCAGAACTGGAGTTACAGATGATTGTCAGTGACATGTGGGCACTGTGAACTTAAATATTCTGTAAGAGTGGCAAGCATTCTTGATCACTGAGCCAACTCTCCAACCCCAATGTTTATGTCTTTAAAATGAACAAGCAGCTATATTATCTAACTGGAGTAAAAAGGGATGATGTGTTGTATTACACATCAATTAATGTGTTTCGCAAACATTGTTTCTACAGTTACAGTTTGTGGGATGCAAGCTAGCATAATTTTATTGTTTTCCTCTTGATAGCCTTTAACAATTTTTCCCCAGTGGGGGTCATGTCTTCTCTTTCCTGCCACCTAATGAAGTTTCCAGCAGAGCATAGACTCTTTGGATCACTTTTACACAATGGCAGTTGTAAGGTTGCTGCACGTTGCAAATATCAAATTTACTTTTGCATCTGGAAACAAAAACGTACCTGGTGACTATTAGCTTCCTCTTAATCTTCATTATCTGGTACAGGCTGGAGGAGATGAGGGGTTCCCTTTTCTCCTAGGCTGAGGTAGAGAGAGACTTGACAATAGAACATGAAAGTTCTTTCTAGATTGTTTCTGTGGTAAATGGCTTTTGCTGTCATGGTTTGGGAGACATGTGCTCTGACCTCTCACTGGTGGGACTCTTTCATTAGTCCTTTGGTCATTTCTCCTAGGAAGTGGATGAAAACTTTCCTCTAGTGGCACTTCCTATAAGCCTGGTTTTGTTGAAGCTTTGTTCTTTTTGCTGCAGTTGTCTTGACTTCTTGGTCACTTGGACAATATTCAAAATAGTTGCAGGTCACCCTTGCCTCCTACGTGTAATACATTCATTGACAGGAAACTCTTACATGCCTCAGCTCTGACAAACTCTGGAGACACAGGATGATCCCAGTCTGGCCCTTTTGAACTACCACAGGCCATTTTAGGTTTTCCAGGACTGAATCAGTCCCCCATGTCCCCCAAACCAAAATCAAAGTATAAGTCCTCCTTCTATTGAAGTCCTCCTTCTAGGTCAGGGTAAAAGAAGTCACAACCAAACCCCTTCCCTTCCTCTACAAAGAAAACTCCTTGTAATCTAGAGAAATTTCTCCAGAAAAGAAGTTTGTAAGTCCTATGTTTCTCTACCTCAATTTCCTGCACAGTACAGTGAGGAGTTGTGTATTTAAACATGTTTCAAGCTGAAAGGCTTGCTTTTGAGAGTCCAGATCATGCTTTTAACATGTCACTGCATCCAATGAGGAAATAAGCTTCTCTGCATGTCATATATACGTGCAGAAAAAAAAAAGCTGTGGATTTGTTTAGCACTGTGGAATTTCCCTTTTTATATAGAAAGTTGTAAGCTGGGGCAGAGGCTGTGTTCATCAGGATTGTCAATGTTCCAGGCAGTTTTACTCTTGTTAATCTGTCTCCCTGAGGAGCTTTATTCATATACATGGTACAAGACTACTACATGGCTTAACTCCATCCACAGGAAGAAGAGAAGGACAGAGGACTTCTTCCTTTAGAATGAATGACAACTTGCATACGTCAAGCCACACTCACATCCTAACAGTCACAGTCTAATTCATTTAACCACATTTGACTCTATGAGGGATGAGGAAGCATGTGTTTTGATTCTGTCTTTTGAGACATAGTCTTATTATGTAGGTTTGACTGGTCTGGAATTCACTGTATAGACTAGGATCGCCTCAGACTTACAGGAATTGGCCTCTTACTGCCTCCCAAATCCTGGGATTAAAATTATTTACTGGAAGCATGGAATTTATTCTAAGCATTCATGTGGGCTAACTGAAATTTCTCTTACTATCATAGAAGGAAAGGCTATGCACTGGGGTTTAAGCAGTGGGATTTGATTAGAACTTCCAGCTGCCCAGTAAATTTGTAATGCAGAGCTTAACTTTCACTTTAGAAGACACAAGACTGTTCTCCTTGTCTTAATTTCACTAATAACATTGAAAACTTTTATTCTGAAGGGAATCCAGGGTCCAACTGGTCTACCTGGTCCACAAGGACCCCCAGGACAAGGCTCACCTGGTCCTAAGGTAATTTTCTAAATGACAGATATTTAGCACATTTATAGTATAATTGTTGTTTATGATTAATGTTCAGTGACTCTGCAAAAGAACAGATGGAATTAACTTGAAAATCAGAACATTCTATGCCAGATGATACTGGCATTATTAATGACTTAGACAGCCTAATATTCTTCTTGCTTTAAGATGATTTATAACTTTTATTTATATCTTGTTTATATTTTTAATTATTGAGACTGTATTCTAGTAGTGCAAATAGGCGACCCTCTCTGGGCTGGTAGGCTTGCATTCTCATGAGTATTCCAACAGTGGGTTCAAGTTTCAGAACCTTAAAAAGATAGAGACAGGATAATCTAAAGAGTTCACCTTGAACTTTGGAATCAGATTATTATTTAATTTGGAATTCATTTCCATCCCTTGAGGAGAGGCAGTTATTTTGTAATTAGCTACCATCCATAATTTTTCAAGAATCACTATTCATTGTTAAATAAATAAATAATTAAACAAATAAACAAACTCAGAGATGCTTGGTCACCTTGGAGCATACACATAAGAAGAAAAACAATATTTCTACCCTTTAGATTTATTTATTTGGTTGGTTTTAGGGGTGGGGGTTTCCCCTAGAGATCTTTTTGTGTAGACCAGGTTAGTCTCTGACACTTAGGATCATCCTGTGTCTGTCTGCCTCCCTAATGCTGAGATTGTAGGTGTGTGTCATTTGGAGTTTTACTTGGGACTCATCACTGAGGGCTCAGGATGGTCTCTGGTTGTTGGTCTTGGTCTTGTGAATCTTAACTGTTAGATAATGCAACTATTTTTTCAAGGTGTCCCTACAGGTATATACCACATGCCTATATTTAAAGTCAAATGCAATAAAAATCCATGTAACTGAAGGGATTTCACATGTAACTAACACCGTGCATGTGTGTATGTGTGTGAATTAAGTATATATGATCATTTCACTTTGTTGATATACAAAAGTTTTGAGGAAATCAAAGGCAGGAATGTATTACTTTTATTTTGCTTCAATATTTAAGTATTTTTTTCCTTACCAGGGAGAAGTAGGCCAGATGGGACCCACAGGGCCTAGAGGACCAATGGGAATTGGAGTACAGGGTCCAAAGGTGAGTTGATTGCTTCTAAGATGCTACTAGGCCATTTGCACTATACGATGTAAGGTTTCTTTCACACCTGAATGCATGGAAGAAGATGCATCTACTATCTAAATGTATATACCTTGTTTCTCTTAACTTTAAAGTGTGGCCAGGAAGAAAAGTGTAATTAATATTTGTTCATGGTTCTTGGTGTTTCTGTTGTTATGAAACTCATACTTCCTTCAGGGCAGGGACTTTGTTCATCTTGTTTGTTATTGGATGTCAGTTTTGACAACATGGTGTACCTCAAATACTGCTGGAGGGATGAATTGCTACTTGATATAACCTTCACAGGTTCTGTACTTAACCTGACGGTATATAGACTCTAGTGAGCTGCACTGAGCTTTGAACTTCTCCATTGTTTGGCTATCATTGGCAAGAGCCTTATAAACAGTTAGGTAGTAGAAGAATATATAAGATGTAAGCTTAACAAGAACATACATAGCCCTACATATCACACCCACACCCACAACCCCATCACAAAAGATCCTAACATTGAATCATTATTATATTAATAAAACAATAAAAGATGTCATTCTTGCATTGCTTTGATATATTACATACTATGCTAAGTGCTAAGTATGATATATATGTGTACACAGACATATAGATATATGTGTACACATATGTGTATATGTGTACACATGTAGTATACAATTTACATGCCAATTTAGAGAGACAGTCCACAGTATGCTAAAGATTACCAGTTAGACTACTTAGGTTTAAATTCCAGTTTTTTCAGTAATCGTAAGGTCTTCTCACTTTACAAAGAACTTCACTGTGTGACAGTATCTCATTTCACATTGACTCACTTTCCTGCTTGTGGTAGTTAATCTGCTTCTCCTGTCTCACATATATTTCACCATAAACATGCCACATTTTCTTTTGCATATGCCAGGCTCGTAAAAACCACACAAAGGTGTAACTGTAAAGTCACAGAACACCCAGTCCCCTGTTTGGATGCTTCAGGAATCCTGTCATCTGGACACCACGTCACCCCTTATTCACAGTATAGCCTTGTCTTAATTGGAAAATATGAAATATACAAAAATACATTTCATCATTTTAATTTTTGTTCCCTGGAAACTAGATGAACAGCGTTTTCATGTGCTTGGTGGACCGTAAGCTTTTCTCTCTGTAGACCCTTATAGATCTTCAGTACTTTACGCTAGGCTTTCATTGTTAGAGTTCTTTATATGTCTGGATACTAAGCTTTTGTTGACAGAATTACAAATATCTTTCTCTAGGTTGTAACTGTCATTTATACTTTTAGTGTATAGTTTGACATTTTGATGTGTTTTTCTCGTTTTATGTCTTATGCTTTTAAAATATTATTTTAAAACACCTTAAAGTCATGAAAGTGTTCTCACATAGTTTTCTGAAATTTTTATGCTTTACTTTTTAAAGTTGTCTTTTATCCACATGGACTTTAGCTTTATGTGTATGGAATGGGGTCAGTATGAGGAATCTGGTTTTCCCCATGTTGACAATGTGCCTCTGTTTCACTGTTGAAAACACTATTTTCCACATCGGTTTGTAATGGTACCCATACATTTTGTCTATTTACCTGTATATGTCAATAATAATCAGTGTGTAGGTCTCATTTTGTTTCCTGTGTCTATTTATAAACACTATTGCCTTACTGTCTTGATTCTGCCTAATTTAAAATATGTTTTATCACTGGGGATACAGCTCAGTTGGTAGAGTGCTTGCTTAGCATGTGGAAAGCCCTGGATTCAGTCCCCAGGACCATATAAACCCGTGAGGTAGAACGTGTCTGTAATTCCAGCACTCAGGAAGCAGGGGCAAGAGAATCAGACAGTCAGAGTCATCTTTGGGACCACACAGCAACATAGAGACCAACAGGGAAACTCAGAAACTTTTCTCAAGGGGGAAATATAACATCACATAACAGGAATACTCTTATCTTTCTTGTTTATTATCCATTCTAACACAATTTAGGATTAGGTTAGCTTATCAAATTTAATAAAATATCTTATCAAATCTACAGATCAGCTATTGAGTTCTTCCAACTATAGAGTAAGAATTTCTAACTTTTCAGGAAAATATTTTCACTTCTTCTATAAAGATCTTCTACCCCATAAAGTCATTCTCAGGATCCCCAAAGAAATCTTGGCAGTATAAATTATTCTCTTTCCAGCAACTTCCGATTAGCTACTATTGGAGAAGCACTTTCTTTGTTTTAAATTTTGGCATATTGAGTTTTATATGAAGTCACTCTGTGAAATCACTATTTCTTACTGAAGTGCTTCTTTCTTTTTCTTTTACCTATAATCATATTATCTGAATAAAAACAAAATTAGATGATGCTGTAAGTCTTTGAAGTACTCCCTTAGGTCAAAGAAATTCTCTTCTATTTCAACTTTTACCAAAATTTTGCTTATTTATTATAAATAAGTAATGAATTCCAGTCAGGTTCAAAAGCTACTAAAATAGTTGTAGTAATTTTTCCTTTTTACACTGTTAACCTGATATAGTAATAGAGGTTTTAGATGTTGAACCATTCTTTTTTTAAGTAAACACAGCTTTTTTAGGTAAACTCTTTTAGGTAAACACAGTATTTCCTTTTAAAGGATACTTCAATCAGTTAATCTTTCATTGAGGATGTTTCATCCTTTTAAAATAACCATTCATAGTGTTGTTAGCATATAATAAATAAACATGCTTACTATATACACTTTGACGGATTTGGGCATATGAATGATGGTCTTGAAACATTCTCATTGAAACCAAGATAATAAAGGCATTCATTACTCATTAGAGTTCTCACAAACCCTTTCCAAAACTGCTCTTCTGCTCTTCCCTAACTTCTATACATTGATGTGCTTCCCACAACCTGCTCCACCGCTGACTATTTCTGAGATATATGTTGCTTTTTTTTTCCACACAGCAGAATTATTCTAATGTGAACTTTACAGGGTGTCTGAATAGTTGTTTCTTTTTGTTGTTGAAAAACCTCTCCTTGCACAAGAATACCACAATTCACTTATCCAATTTCCTGGTGGTAGAAATGTTGGCTGTTTCTAAGCTTTCACTGTTACAAAGTACAAATATTTATTGAAGTATCTCTGGACAACTGTTTCCCCCCCTTTTTTTTGAATGAACATCTAGGAATGAACTGGATAGCTTAAATTAAAATGGGTAGATTTTTGTCCCTTTCTCTGAAACCTTTGTGTAAAATAGAGATCCTGTTCTTCAAAGATTTTCATTGGCTATAGAGCCAATGAGAGCCTTGCTACCTGGGGAAGAATCTAGAGCAGTGGTTTTCAACCTACCTGATGCTATGACTTTTTAAACACTACCTCATGGTGTGGTGACCCCCAACCATAAAATTATTTTGTTGTTACTCCATAACTGTCATTTTGCTACTGTTATGTATTGTGATTAAGTATCTGATATGTAGGATGCCCCACAGTTGGAGAACTGCTGATAGAGGATTTCAATCACTAGATCTGTTCGCTAACAGCATTGCTACATTAGGCTTAATGTTTTAATTGTAGAAGTTGGCCCTGGTTCCCAACTGAGGAATCCCAGCCCCATGCTCCCAGAAATAAGACTCAGACTCAAAATATATTTACAATACCTTAGCCATATAGCCAGGCTCTTCTCTGACTAGATCGTAACTAAGATAACCCATTTATTTTAATCTATATTCTACCATGTGGCTGATTACCTGAGCTCAGGTACCATGTGTCTGTCTCATTACATCTTCCTAGAAAATCTCTCACACCTGGTCTATCCCAGAATTCTTTCTCCTCTCAGATGTACCACCTTTCATTTACTGACTAAGTCATAGGCCATAGGCTTTTTAATTGAAAGGTAATGCATCCATATAATACACAAAATATTCTCTCAACAATCTCCATTTTTAGTCCAATAAAAGTCTCTTTTCCTAGAACGGATATGACTATGCCATAGACTGATGCCCTGGAAAACCAGAAATTTATCATCTCACAATTCTGGAGGCTACAACTCTGAAATCAAGATATCTACAGCCATGCCTTCAACCAACCCTACAGGGAAGAATCTTTCCTGGCCTAGTTTTGGCTTTTCATTATGGTTGTCAGTTCTCAGCACTCCTAGGCTTATGGCTGCTGCACCTCTTTCGTGTTTGCCTCTGATGTCTCAGAGTTTTCTGCTTGTTTTTATAGGGCGGTATAGTCTTTCTATCATGGTTCCAGTTGTACTTAGTTAAGACTTACCTTAATAACCTCATCTTAACTTGATAATATTTATAAAGATCCTGTTTCCAACTACACTCAATTCTTCAGGGATATCACAATTTAACCCACGGCAAAAGACTGAAAAACAGAGGACTTAGGTAACTTGCCCAAAGTTGAGAAGTTTCGCTGTTAATCACATTTCTTTGTTCAGAGGCGTTTCTCAGTATTATAAGATATAGCGAATATCTCAAAACGAGGTGTACCTTAAGGACATGTCATTGAAATAAAATATTTGTTTATCCACTAGGGGGAGCCAGGCACAGTGGGGCTCCCAGGACAGCCTGGAGTCCCCGGGGAAGATGGAGCCTCTGGAAAGAAGGTAATCTTACGTTTTTTTGTTTGTTTGTTTTATATATATATCTCATCAGTGTCAAAACTGTAGGACCACACCAGCACCTCGGTCCCCTAGAACCTGAGGTTAAACTACCAGGACAAATAGTGTCTGTAAGAATGACTTTTCTTTCCCTTTACCCCAGAAAGAGTCCGTTTCCTCCACTGGTGCCTCACGTGCTCTTAGTTTTGACTGGTGTTTTGGCCTGGGCATTATGAAATCACATCAGTTTAATCTCAAACAAAACTACCTCTCTTCCTCCAAAAGAGAGAGTCTATAGATGGATGTATCTGGGAAGTTAAGGCTATTGTAAAGATGTCCTGAACTATTTTGTGTTGGCATTTGAAATACTCAGTTTTTAATAAAGCTTCTGAAAAATAGCAGATGGAGTGAAAAAAAAACCTTCTTGTTGAAAAAAAAAATCAACTACTAAATGTGAGGGAAGAGCCAAAGGAGGAGCGTAGCGCTTTGGAAACTGGCTGAGATGGGCGTTCTCTGTGGTATTTCAGCTGCTCTGGTTAAAGGGGAGTTTAATGTTAATTTATTCATCGATAAGTTTCCAATTTAATTTTGAGATGACAACGAAGAAAGGTCTGGTGTGTTTTGGGGCATAGTCCAAGTCAAATTCCCTGGCAATGAGAGGAGACACAAGATGGGTTCTGCATTTTGTCCTCCACAAACCAACTGAGTCAGTGGTGTCCTTCCCTTCAGGGTGAAGCTGGACTTCCAGGAACAAGAGGCCCAGAAGGAATGCCTGGGAAAGGACAGCCTGGTCCCAAGGTACGCAAATGACAGCTAGGCAGGAAGCAGCTGTCTGGTGCTGGTCCCCAGTCAAAAGAGCCAATTTAAGAGAGATCTAATTTACATTCTTGCTATGTCAAACATGTTTACATCTTGCTTAAAATCACAAATACTGTCTTGTGAGCCTTTGGAAGAAGGCAAGTGTGTATTATTCATCTTTATTTTCCTACATCCATCTTCAGCTCCAGCATAGAGAAGAATTCAACACAAGTTTTCTCAATGGATGGTCAATTGATATTTAAAGAAAACATAGGAAGGAAAGAATTTACAAGACACATTTTTAGAATTTGGAAGTATATGAAGTTTATTAAAATATTTATAGGCTTTCACATAATAGTAAGGCATATCACCTCATTAAATGTCAATTGGGTAACAGGGTTTGTAGCTTAGTGAGAGAATGTGCTTAGCATAGGCAAGGCCATGAAATAGACTCCTAGTATAAAGCAAATAAATAAATAAAGTGACAATTTCACATTACTCCCCCTAGAAGTGCTACTTTAATAACATCTTTGTATGTCAAGATGAGAAGATATAAATTCTCCCATAATGAGACCTTTAGTAGCATAACATACCACCTCACCTCTAAGGTGTCAGAATTCCTGTAGTTCTGAGGAAGAGTTATCATACTGCATACACACTGGTATTCTATTTATAATTCTGTTAAAATACAGTTAATTGGCCTTGTAAAAATATTAACTAAAGTCAAATCCTTAACCCTGAGAAACTGAAATTTAAATATACCTGTATAATTTCAGCCACTTGAACCTATTAACTTTTCCTTCAAAGAAGAAGACGAAGAACATTTTTCAAAACATGATGTGTTTAGAAATACTGGCCTATTAATAATCAGAAGTGAGAAAATGGGGAAGGGCAATGTCTCTGAGAAAGATCTGAGGCTTAGGATCTGAGGTGGCTGGAGAAAGTCCCTGGGAGAGCAAGAGCACATGAGCCCTGAGTGAGGAAATCTAAGAGAATGGGTCCCAAATCGGGGACAAAACTGATACTAAAATGCCCCATCATCGAGGAGAACACAGCACAAATTATAGCAGCACCATATGATGCAGCCCAGGCTGTCCTTGGGCAGTGCTGGTGGTTAATGACATGTGGCCATGCACCCATAGTGTTCTGAGATGGTTGGATCAGTATGTTCAATTAACTCTCTGGAGGTAATTACATCATTGTGGATACAGTTGGAGGCTCTTTGCTTTATAGAGCATCCTTTTGTTGATGTGCTAGTATGTGACTCATTGGCTTTCAAGGTGTAGTCTCTAGATCCGCTGGGTTGGCGTCATCCATGAATATTTGACATGCCCTTGTAGAGATGACCTAAGTTAGAAATTCTGGACACTGGATTTAGAAATCTGTGCACAAGCCCTCCATGTGATTGTGATATTTGTTTGAAAACTGTGGCTAAACCTGGTGTACCAGCAATGTGCCAATAAGCTCAGTTGCAAGCTTAAAGGAGAGATTCCCTCACTGACATGGGCCCACATCTGGACACAGTGCCTTCCAGTACAGCCTTATTTAGAGAGAGTACTCTAATGCTGTTAAGGCCTTGGTGGAAGGGAGCAGAATTCATTATGATCATGGAAACACCGCTGAGTACAGCCACGCTGGGAAGCAGCAGGAGACAGTTTCCAGCTCTGCTGCAGGTTACTGCTCGAATATCTTCTTACCAACCAAATTATTGGCCTTCTTTTGTAGAGTGAACTAGCCTCCCCGCTGAGGAAGAAATGGGGCCTTGATTTAAAGAATGTCTCTTTTAATGTTTTTAAACAGAAATAGCATGAAAATTGAGAGGCAGGATAAAAACCATCACTTTTCTGAAATACCAAATGTATCCCAACCATCTGTGCACACACAGGACAACGAGGCAGAAGACTCGTAAATTCAGACAAAAGTTCTCTGAGGTTCAGAATTTAGACGTAAAGAACATCAAATCGTTTTGAGTTAGTGATAAAGACTGAACAGGTTTCTGAGAAGCTTTCACAAACCTTGGGAGCTGCGTGGCTGGAGGACGATGTGTTAACACAGTCTCTGTACTTTTGTAATTATTCTGTCAGGGTGATGAAGGAAAGAAGGGGAGCAAAGGAATCCAAGGACAGAGGGGGTCTCCAGGACCCGAAGGGCCGAAGGTATGTTTCTTATATTCTCATCTGTGCTTGGAGGACATGGTAATTGTGTCTGGTTTTAATAGAATATTAAATTTCCATTTCAAATTTGATTACTCGTTTCCTTCCCAACAAATACACAGTAAAACCCCCCGGAGGAAAATGTATTTAGACAATTTTCCATTCCAGACCATAATAGAATGGAAGAAAGAGATCTCACAATGTATCTAATTATCTGTGCTTCTGGGGGACAATCAGCCTGCCAATGGTCTCTAAGAATTATCAAATATTGAGAAACTGGGGTAAAGGTAGGGCCATAGCACACCCCTCCCTGCCATGTAATTTTGCTAAACAGTAAGTTCAACATTGATTGACAGGCATACTGAAGAGACACTTTGGAAGGACTGTCCCATCTTGCTCTGCTTTGAGCCATATGAGGGCATTCTCTGTGTGTAAGTGTGTCAGAGGACAACTTGTAGAAGTCAGTTTTCTCCTTCACTGTGTGGGTTGCAGGGATCTAACTCAAATTGTCAGGCATGGCAGTAAGTGCCTTTACCTGCTGAGCTATTCACCTGTCTTTGGGGAAAAATTTAACTGACTAACGTTTTGCTCATTTGTCAGAGGATTGGATGTGGGTTAATCTGTTGCCAGAGCATGGGTGTCTTGTGCCATACCCACAGGTTTGGATTTAAGGATGAGCACACACATGCCGAGGCATGAAGTAGGTCCCAACAGGCTGTGCGCCCAGTTAAATAGGCTGTACTGTGGAGAGTTCCCACAGCAGCGGTGTCAACTGGGAAGATGAACATGTTCCTCCTAGAAAACTTGGGATGACCAACCACATGCTTCTGAGATATAAGGACACATACATCAAGCAAAGGAGGAACTAGCCAGTGAGCTGAAATCCTTGAAGGACCTACTAAGGTATAACATAGAAATAGTTCAGTCTCTGAGACAGGCTTCCACCATTTTTATTTTTTATTTTTTTTGTTTTGTAAAGGGCCAGATAGAGCATAGTTCAGCTTTGTCTGCCAAGAATCAAAATTGAGTTTGTTGTGTAGGCACTTAGAGTATAACTGCTTGAAAATGTGAAAACTAGTCTTAGTTCAAGGCTGTCAAGACCTAGAGCAGGCTGACTTTGGCCCACACTTTGTAATTTCCTCATCCTTATTCTGGAACAGTAGTTTCCAAATTTCTGTGATTACAGACACCTGACAGTAAAATTTTGATCACATTCCAACATAAATTTGATCATTTTTTAGTTACATTTTTAAATGTATAAACCACTTGGCTAATATATGTTTAAAATGTTGTGTAAATAATGTAAAATTTTATAATTTTTGTGTATGAAACTATATAAAGTCGTGATATTCTCTTTCTCTGCCCAGTGGGTCATTTTGAACACCTTGGGGTGTGTAGTAACAAATACTTTAGCACAGAGTCCCTTGAAGTGTGTTACTCACACTTGTGTCAGACTCCCCAGAGCTGCCTATAAACATTCATATCCCTGGATCCCATCCTTTAGGTCTGGATTTCTGGGCTTGTAACTGGGCACTGGATATTTAGAAACGTGATTTGTATGCCTTAGTATTTGAGGAACACTGATCTAGATTCAGGTGAGACACAACATTACCTTTCTGCTTCTTGAGTCTTGGGGAGAGAAAATGGAGGCAGAAGGCAACTTGATAGAGAGGGGGCAAGAAGGTGGGAAGAAGCAAAGAGAGAAAGATGTTTCAATTTTCCTATTCAATTTTTAAATAAAATACATAATCTCTGTTTCTTAAAAAAGGATGTATACGATGGAGTAGCGATATAACAGGAGTCATGGCGTTGCAAGCAGCAAAGCATACTGGTTTTTAAATTAGCCACGAACTGTAAAACTTATGCTGGAGACTATTTCTATGATTGAATACACGATTTTTTTCCCCTCTGAGTTTCTTGGCATACAATGTAAAACATGGGCATCACGGATTGCTTCATCTTTGTTAGCCAGTAAAAAGCTACACAAGAGATAAAAAATTCCTCCTATTCAGGAATTAATTGAACACATTTATTTAAAGGCACTGAGAACTTGCAGGGTAGTAACTTCAGCAGTGGTTTACAAAGGCTGTTCCAATCATATTCAAACTTACAGACACAGAGGTGTGAAGATTCTGAAATATGCAGATATTTGTTTTCTTTTCCTCCTATAATTACTGCATATAGTTTCTCTACTTGAAATGTAACAGCTTTTCTGGTTTTCTCAGGGAGAACCAGGCATTATGGGCCCCTTCGGAATGCCTGGACCATCAATTCCTGGACCCTCTGGACCAAAGGTATATATTCTTGGCCCTTTTTAAAGTGTGTGTGTGGGGTGGGGAAGGTGTGGAATACACATTTTTTTTTTATGTCACTGATGTTGGTTCTAGTAAGCTGGAAGTTTAATTTGGGAAGATCCTTAAGAAATATTCACAGATAAGCAGACTCAAAGCCAGATTCTCATTCCTAACACTAAGCTTACCATGTTACCCTGTGTCCCTTCTCTCAGTCTGCAGGCCTTAGCACATTTAAGAATGTTGTTACATTTACAGGAGAATCTATAAGGATCTATAATCAAAAAGTCTGGAGGAAAAGATGCACTCGGTTTTAAGAGAATTCCCAGGCATTCTTACATCTAAATATTTGAGTCTATTAGTCACATATTATTTTAGTGGATTTCCCCAGATACCTACAGAAACATTTACTGATGGGTTTATTAATTCTTCAATTGAGTTTCTCAAATTTGTCCTAAGCATAAGATGGACAGATTAAGTTCTTTACACACTGGTGGTCTATTTTGACTATACACTGCTGTAGTTCTTCATGTAACCTAGAGCCTTGCCAATGTTATTTAAAATGGACAGGGAGACCGAGGAGGACCTGGAATGCCTGGTCTGAAAGGAGAACCTGGACTTTCTGTTCGAGGACCAAAGGTATGATTTATTGATGCTTCCTTTATGGATGTGAGAAGGTAGACTTAACACTGGGAATGTAACGAAGAGATAGAATACTTGCCTAGCATGCATGAGACCCTTTGTTTTATCCCTGCACTCCAAAACAAAATAAGAAGAGGAAGAGCAAGGGGTTTGAAGAAGAAGAGGAGGAAGAAGAAAGAACAGGGGAGCAAGACGAAGAGGACTTGACCCCTAATATATTAGCCAGCTTTCTGCCACCATGTTGAAATATGTGCATCGTCAGTTTATAAGTTTATTTTGGCCCATGGTTTCCGAGATTTTAGACTATGAATATCTGTCCCCTTTGCTTGAGGCCTGTGGCATCTCAGTACATCAAGGTAGGAATACATGATAGAGGATTCCTGTTCACCTGATGACAGTCAGTGAGTCAAAGGAGATAGGAAAAGGCTGACGTTCCAATCTCCATTCTGTGGAAAGGATTCCAGTTACCTAATTTCCTCCAACTAAACCTGACACTCTAAGGGCTCCACCAACTTCCAGCTGGCCACGGGCTGAGGGCTACTCTTTGGACACATTGATCTTTGAGGGATGTTCAAGATCCAAGCTATTCTATTTAATAAGTTAATCATTTACTTATAATATTTATCTATTGATGAAATACATGTAAAGAGGCTATGTCCTTGGGGTGAGGGAAGAAAAGGAATAAGCAACAGGTTTATTTTTTATATATTTTGGGACTATTAGCTCCCATGGGTAAGTGGGTAAGTCTTTGCTGACTCAGTCATTGTTAGAAAAATACTCTTTTTATATATCCATAGTCACAACTGCTCTGGTTTACCGAAAACTAGGGGCTCCTGTCACATAAAGCTTTCAGGAATAAGATTTTTTAAGATCCCACACAAGCTCAGCCAGGTTGCTCATCCTGCATCTGGTACCCTGGCTATATAGCTGACTCACGAAAATTGTCAAATTTCCCATGTGAAATTATAGACGTTATCTTGTTTAGTTAACTGTGGGGACTGTTTCCATGTTGTCTGATAACTGGTTGTGCACACTCCATGGTTTATGCTGTTTATCTGTCCTTACTCTTCCTTGTACATGACAATGTGCCACACTCTTACCCACTCATGATTGCCGGGCACTGCAGATGATGGTATTTAAAGATGCTTGCCTCTTTCGCCAAACATTTTTCCTCTTTTGGGCGTTAGTGGTATTCTTGATACCATTCATTTCCAATGTAGTCATTTCCGCATTTTTCAGGGTCATATATGCCTTTGAATGTATGATGGGAGGTTGGCACATTAATTCAATTTTACATGCTACATTAGTGAACTCTTATGCCCACCCTAATACCCATTTTAAAATACCCCATCCCTTTTTTGTGCTTGTTATGTGTTGAATGAGATTCAGGTCACAGTGACATTTTCTTGATTCTAATAAAGAAAGAAAACATGGCAAAATTTGGTTTATAAAAATTTTGGAATGAAAAGGAAAATCAATCCTTAGGCTTGACCCAAGACACTTCCTAGTGACCAGATACTTGACAAGAAGCAATTTAAGGTAGGAAATTGGTAGCTTGGTTCATGGTTCAGGAAACAAAGTCCATCACGGTGGAGAAAGCATACGGGCAGGAGTGTTCTCACATCTTGTCTAATCAGGAGTCAGGGAAAAAAGAATGCTGGGGGTCATATAGTCTTTTTCTTTTTCCCTTTTTATTAAGTCCAGACCCTAGTCTATGGCATGGCCCCAACCCACTTTCAGAGCCTGTCATTTCTCCTTAGGCAAACTCTCTTGAAACATCCTCAAAGACAAACATATAAGCCTATCTCCTAGGTGATTCCTTCTAGACAAATTGACAATGAGGAGAACCCATCACACTTGCTGTTACCATCGGAAGTAACCAAGTTACTGCAAACTCTGTAGGAGAGAGGACAAAGATCTGTAGGGAAAGAGGTGTTTGTAATGTGTGTTAAGGGTTTCCTCCTCTGTGGTGAGTACCAGCAGTTAATCAGTTACAGCTGCTGGTAATATATCATTGGCTTAGAGCACAGAAATAAAAACCAGAAGTAAACTGGATTCTTTTTCTTTTGAGCATAACCAGGGAGCAGTTTCTGCTTTATTTATTTATATACTTATTTATTTTGTTGATCTTTTTCTTGTATCGTAAGCATGGGCAGAGATAGAGGCTTATTTGGAAAACAGTTTTGTACATGAATGACCAGAATTATGTTAAATATAACTAGAATGGCTTAGAAAACTGGATCTGAGAAGTTTCCTGTAGTTGGGGATATGCTAAGTTCCCCTTACCTTGATCTTGCTCCCATTCACACACACAACTTAAAAAAATCATCGTAGGTCGTGATGGTGGTAAAGAGTGGACTCTGTTTCCATAAATGGCCAAATAGTATCTGAGGCAAACCTCTCTGAGGCTAACCTTATAAAACCAGCTGCTGCATTCATGACTCCCAAATTTAACTTCTTGGTGCTTAAAGGATCTGCAGCTTTAATTCCACCTCATCCATCCATCCACCTCATCCATCCATCCATCCATCCATCCATCCATCCATCCATCCATCCATCCACTCATTGGCATAGAACTAGGATTAATGGGAAGCTGGATTGAGGGCAACATTTTGGATAGGGATAATCACAATTTGATCTCAGAATTGTCTAATGTGTAAAGAAAATATTTGAATGTATCATTTGCATTTCCATTCATGGAAAACAAAAGTTGGGCTGTAACTAGAGTGTCCATCTAATGTAAAATAATAATAAATAACTAATTTAAAGCACAAGCAACTTTTTTTTTTTATCAAAATAAGTAATGGGCACAGACAAAGACTGTTAGCCATCACAGTAACAAAACGGTGTGTAACAAAAAAATAGTTTTAAAACATGTTTAGTAAGTCTTTGAGGTTAATATATATTCTAAAAGATTCAAGTTCTTTTTTTTAAAAATCTCTGTACCCATTTTACTGTACCCAGTGATTTCTTGGGTTTATATTTGTAGGGAGTAACACAATGACTTGCTACCTAAGGGGCAATTATCATCTCTCTCTGGCCTCTGTAGATGAGGTGAATGCCTGACGGTAAAAGTCATGGAGCCCAAGGTTAACAGCAAATCGTCAGGGTCCCGTCACTCTACCACTTAGTCTGTTTGAACTCCATCTGGGTGATTCAGTCCTCTGTAATTTAGGCACATGGAGGAACACAATAGATGTAACTCACTGTGCTGGGCTCGTTATATTTGACAGTCTACACTCAAAATCTGTTATGTAAGCTCCCCTAAATTTTCTCATGGTTATATCCCTCCCCAATAAGTGTTTGTATATTTTTAATTAAAATAATAACAGTAGCTGTTTCTTGATTCTTGTGACCCGTGTTTCCTATAGAAGTCTTTGACATGGTCCATACATTCCTTACTTTCTACACACATCCCGGTGACCTCACATGATGGGACTTCTGAGGGAATAAGCAATTGCTAAATGTAGCAGGATATTGTCCTAAAATTTCCTTTGCCCTGTCAAATCAATCGTTGGGTTTCTTTTTTTTCTTTTGAATTAGTGTTTAGCTTAAGCTCTGCTAGATGTTCCATGATTTAGTACCATGACTTGGTATTTGAATTTTTACAGGGTGCCCAGGGTCCTCGGGGACCAGTGGGTGCTCCAGGACTCAAAGGTGATGGCTATCCTGGTGTGGCTGTAAGTGTAGTTGTGTCTTCTTTTTCATATAAATCAATTTAAATGTATGCATATTAAATACACGTATTTGAACTATAGTATGATTTGATATATGTATATAATGTAACGATCAAATTGGGCTTAATTAGCATTTCTGTTTCCTTAAACATCATTTCTTTATGCTGAGTACCTTTGAATTCTTATAGTTATATATAAAATATACAGTCAGCTGTTGCAATGATAAAACCTTTCCACCCTCCCACCCTCCTTCCCTATATCTAGTCCTCCCTCCCTCCCTCCCTCCCTCCCTCCCTTTCTTCCTTCCTTCCTCTTTCCTTTCCTCCCAGCCTCCTCCTTCCCGTCTTTTTCTTTCTTTACCTCCCTCCTCTTTCTTTCTCCTTCCCTCTACCTTTCTGAGGATTGCATACTCCAAGGATGCTTATTCCATCCTATATTACATCACCTTAGGGACCTCGAGGACTGCCAGGACCCCCTGGACCAATGGGCTTACGTGGTGTGGGAGACACTGGAGCGAAGGTAAGATTTTTAAAGTAAACAACAATATTGGTTTCTAAGAAAGTACTTATAGGTGACGTTGGTAAATGTGTTTTATTTTTATCTGACACACAAAAAGAATAGATATGTAGGAAATAATTGCTGAATTTTTTACCCTTACTCATGGGCTTCCTGGGAAATGTGCCTGTGAATATGTTGGTTGACTTCTTGGCCCTGTAACTGACTCTTTGGCAGCAAACCTCACATTTCATTGCTTCTTTCTCTTCCTGTACCAAGGTCTGGGCTCCGTTCAGAGCTTCCTTCTCTCCTGTCACTCTGCTTTTTTCCCCAGCCTGTCTCAGCCAATCCCACAGCTTTATCACCAGCCTGTCTCAGCCTATCCTGTAGCTTTATCCCAGCCTGTCTCAGCCAATCCCGCAGCTTTATCACCAGCCTGTCTCAGCCTATCCTGTAGCTTTATCCCAGCCTGTCTCAGCCAATCCCGCAGCTTTATCACCAGCCCGTCTCAGACAGTCCCGCAGCTTTATCACAAGCTTCATGATGATGTCATCCAAGTCTGCAACCTTTTTCTTGTTCATCGAATTTCTTATTACATATTTTTGATTTCTTATAGATATCTTTAATCTAACTTTCAAACCAGAACCCTTTCAAATAAGAACCTTTGATTCTTACCCTGTGGTACTGTAAAAGGCAGTGCTGTCCAGCCCAAGCTTGGTCCCTTCTTTTCTACGGTCTTCCTCCAAGTCCTGCCCTTTGCTTCATTCTGGCAGTTCATGTTCAGAATGAGCCTACAGTTTGGATCACTTTTTTCTGTGGCTTCCTTCAGGCAAACCAGCACTATGCCTGAGTACTCAGATGATCTCTTCACTGAGCTACCCACTTCCAAATCTGCCCTCCTAATTTAGTACATTAGGTGGCCTTTTCAAACTGTACATCAGAGAAAATTCCATTTCTCTTTAGAACTACTCGGGTGGCTTCCCTGGACTCAGAATGAAACCCAGAGACATTCCCAGGCCTTTGAGGCCCTTATGACTCGACATGGCTTCTATCCATTTTTCTCTTGCCCCAACATTCAATCACCCTGGGCTGCCATCCCTGCAACAATTTTGTACTTTCAGAGTCATGAATCTGCAAGGATAAACAGATCTTAAGGCCTTGGCTAAAGTTTTCTCCCAGATTTCCCTTAGAGACAAGCATCACCACTGCCTTTTGACACAAGTTTCATATGTAGATTGGACGGATTCTCTAAGGAATCATTATGGTTATTTATTGCCAATGGTGCTCTGTAGGTCCCATGAGATGTAAGGTTTCTTAGAGGCAAGTTCTTCGTAGTCTCTGCTAACTTCTTGATTCCAGAACTGTGTTAGTACCCAGCTCTAAAATCTATTGAGTTAAATGGAAAGCAGATGAATGATCAATGATTTTATGGAAAAATTATTTTAAAAACTCAACTATTCGCTTAGATCTGTCATGTTTCTAGGCCATTACAGAAAGATGTATCCATGTTTGACGCTAATTGTTATCCTTTTGTTGTTGTTTCTGTTGCACTAGTTAGAAACGAGAATGCTTATGTACTGCCTCTCTAGAGAATAGTTGGTGCCTTTTTCTCCAGCCTGACTCAGGGAGAATGAAGACAAAAGACCCATAGCAAAAACCATCATCTGTAAGAGAAATTCCTATGTCTGCCCCAGTTGTAAATCATGGGGTAATTGTAAGAATCTCAGTGAGAGGTACAGCTGAAAGTGCCAGATAAATCATGGATGTAGACCTTGAGATGCTCTGGTCAAAGTTCAGGTGGGGTTGACTCAGGACTAACTCTGATCCTTGAATAAGCCTTGATATTGTCAACAAGCCATACTGTATTCAGATATTAAGTCATTTTTTCTTTAACACATAACATCTATCAAAACGTTAAAATTTAATAAAGTAGAAAGATTTAGTATATAAATATCATCACTTCCTGCTCCAAATGAAACATTGATAAACCCTTTTGTTATTATGCTAAATATTTCCCTACAGGAAACAGAAGCTTATTTCTTTTTAAAATAAGATATGAAATAAAATATGTTAAATATATACTTGGCTGTGTTTGTATTGCAAAGCAAGCATATGGCCATTTATATTTTCAAAGTGTAGTTGGTTATGAATATTTATACAAGTATTATTATATTAAGTTATCTTGTTATAGCTTCATATGTAGTATTAATAACAACAAAGAAAATGAACATTAAAAATTTAATCTTTATGAACATTCTTCTCTGTCAGATTATTTAACATGCAGACTAAGGCATTTTCTGAGTGATTTTATATATCATATTCCTAAAAAAATCTCTTGTACTTACTTTCATTTTTTTTTATTATTTTTTTGGCAAAGGTGCCAAGAAAAGTGTTCTTACTTGCAAATTTTTATTCTACCTTTTTGATTTTTAAAAGTAGCAAACGAATTTCCAAAAGTCACACTATGCCTTCCAAAACTTGTCTTGGACTCCAACTTGCTTCCAGAAGTAGGGAGTAGGGGGAGGAACAGAACCAGATTCTACCTGTGTCTGCTCATCTGTTCCCCCTTGTAGTGCCTTCCTCTCTTCCTTGCCTCCTGTCTCTTCCTGTGCAGAATGTGTAATCCACAGAGCTCTAGCTCAGAAAAAGATACTAGGAATGTGTGCTAGTCTTAAAATCAAAGAAACTTTTCAATTATAGATTTGAAAATAAGAGAGATTTTGGAAGCAAACACTAGCTTATAAATAACTTTCAAAATCATCTCTCCTTTTGCATAGAGGTCCTAAGTCTCCATCTGCCCTTTCTTTCTGAAGAAGACGAGGGAAGCACGCATGCACAAACACATACACAGACAGAAAGGAGGAAAGTAAAGGAGATACTTTAAAAGTCTGATTGAGTTAATGTTGTCCTTCTGATAAAGTAGAGGTCAAATCAGCACAAATATGTCAGCGACAGACAACAAATGCCTGCACCCAAATATGTAACAATCTTCCTGTTACTTTGAGTTAAAAATGTCAGAAACTCTAAGTATTTAGAGGGGTGTGTGTGTGTCCACATTTCTATCTTGATATGTTTTTCATTTAAACTCTGTGTAGTCACCTTAAAACCTTGGCCTTAAGGCATTAACTTGCAAAACAAATGTGTTTTGAAATGAGGAAACTATTAAGGTTGATGATTAATTTATGATGGCTCATGTGATATTTAGTTAAGGTCACATATGTTTAGCATATGACAAAAACATTGGAATCAAAGCTTCTATGTTTTCAAACATATAAAAAGTAGTGCCTGGCATCCAGCACCTTGTGGGACTCTGTGTGGTATTTTTTCCTAGTAGAAAATGTTTATAGACCATCACATTTTGGCAAGAGTTTCTGAGCTCTTTCAAAATTCTCCTAAAAAATTTCAAGGACAACAGTAGATGTAGGTTTGAAAGTCCACCTGGGAAACATGCTGGGAAAGGACCAAAGAATTCGTTCTCTTTGTTGAGTAGAAAATGCTTACACTGAGGTCTAGACCCATATACCACTGGACTACTAACGGATACCATCCTCAGAGACCTCACTCATCTCTGCTTGCATTCCTCCATTGGAGCCCTGAGAATAAAGGGAATTCTTGTGATTTCAAGACATTTTTTGACACTCTCAACTTCCTTTTAGGAGCTGCAGCTAAGTCATTGCTCTTAAGTCTTTACCTAAAAATCCCAAAAAGGGGCTTGAAGCTGGGAGGTGAGCCTCAGATAAGCCAAAGTCTAGGAGTTTGCTTTAGGCTTTATTAAAATAGAATACTGGGATGGTTCTCTGTGTTCCTCAAGGGCAAATCCATCTTGCCTGGTCCTCTTTGCTCTGTTGGTGCCAGGAAAAGCCAAGGTGTAACAGAATCAGTGGAGTGGTTATATGTGTTATACTTATCCTTCAAGCTAACTTGGGTTTGGGACATTCAAATGGCCACTTAGCTATCAAATGTGACCAGAAGTATTATTTTTTTTTAATTGTGCTTTGAATTATGATAATGTTATAATTAGTATTTATCTCCTAAATATTTCCAAAATCCTGCATTTTGAACAATTCCATCATTTTGCAGAGGAGGAAATTGATGATCAGAGGTTGCACAACTTGCTGCTATACAATGTAAACATCTTTTATAGCATGTATTTATGAGAGTGAATCTCTGAATGTGATGAGTGGCTGACTGAATGAAGACAGATTGACTGACTTTCTAGTCCCCAGTGCTCAGTCTCAATCTGTCCATCTTCTAATTGTCTCATGCTGTTTTGCACGCAGTTGGATTGCTTTTCTTTTTGTCATCATCAAAACCTAGATTATGTAAACTGCAAAGAAAAGTACAAACACAAACCAAAAAGAGTTAAACATTCCCCCCTCAAATTAAATATTGGGTATTGTAAATACATCCTTTATTTGACAAAAGTGGCCCATAGTAATAAATTAAAATGCAAGCCTATGTGAAATTCCACTGAGTATCATTATTCTGAAAACATTTCCCAGCATCTGAATTGCTTCTCTGTTCTTGGCAATGGCTCACATATGTGCATGCTGCCACCGAGTCTTGGCAGAATAGAGGACCAATTCACACAGAGATGCATTAGGAATCTGGGGCTTCCATCAGCAGATGCAGACTGGACAAGGAACTCCATTTTGAGCAGTCCAGACAAGAAGGGCCAGTTAAGGATGCAGGCTTAGGGAAAACGATATTAAGAATTCATGATTCTAAAGTAGACTAGATACCCACCTCTTCATAGTAGATTCCAAATTTGTGGAATGCAGGAAATGAGGGTGAATCTGTGAGGGGTTCAGGGATGCTTATAATCAACATACGTTGTCATGAAATTTGCAAAGAATTTTTAAAAATGTGTTAAGATTACTAAAGAATGGAACATGAGCTCGAAATATGAATAGTTAATGTCAGAAACATGTGAGGTTTGAAGGTTAGGGAGCTTGGCCTATGGTTTCTGAAAAGGCCAAGTTCAGGACCCAGGAAATTTGATGAGGTAACTTATCAAGGCAGTT